CAAAGAACCATCCCCGTCCACATCTACCGCCCCCGCAACCCCGCCAAGCCCCCACCCGGTGCTCCTCAACTTCTGCGGCGGCGGCTTCATCATCCAAGGCCACGGCTTCGACCACACCTACTGCAGCCACATCGCCGCCCACACCGCCTACACCGTCTTCGACGTGCAGTACCGCATGGCCCCGGAGCATCCCTTCCCCGCCGCCCTCGAAGACGCAGAGGATGTCCTGGGCTATGTGCGCGCGCGGCCGGAGACGTACGATGCGAGTCGCGTGGCCCTGAGCGGGTTCTCGGCGGGGGGCAATCTGGCGACGAGTCTGGCGGCGAACCACGAGGGCCCGTTTAAGGCGCTCGTGGCGTTTTATCCGTTGGTGGATGCTGTCAGGCCGTTGGGGGAAAGAAAGGCGCCGGAGCGTGGGGGGTGGACTTTGCCCGGCTGGTTTGTGAGGTTTTGTACGGTGGCGTATTTGAGTGGGGGGTTTGAAGGGCAGGGTGGGGATGTGAGGATTTCGCCATTGCGGAGGGCGGTTGTGGATGGGTGGCGGGTCGAGAGGGTTTTGTTGGTTGCTGCTGCGAGGGATTTGTTCGCCCCGGAGGTGGAGGAGTTGGGGGCTCTGCTTGCAAAGGGCGGCAATGGCGGGTTTTTGAAGAAGGTCGTTGTTGAGCGGGTCGATGGGGTGGGTCATGCTTGGGATAAGGTTGCGAAGGAGGGCACGGTGGGGTGGGAGAAGATGATGCGGGTTTATGGGATGGTGGTGGATTTGTTGGATTAGACGTTTCTTCTTTATTGCTCTCTTTCTTTCTGCTATGAAGGAGTTGTGGATGTGTGTGGCCTTGGTATTGTTTCATTTGTGGTGTTTGTTGGTCGAATTACATATACCCCCGTTTGTTAGACCAAGGGCCAGTATTTTTGGATGATCGTTTTCTTGTTCACCTTGCCCATTGCGTTGCGCTCGATGTTCTCGACGATCTTGAGCACCGTGGGGATCTTGTAGGGCGCCATTTCTTGCTTGAGTTGCGTGCGAAGCTTCTGGAGTTCGAGGGGCTCGGTCTGGTGGGTTAGTGAGCATTGGAACCTGTGAAGTGTAGTATGGGAGATGGACGTACGCCAGGACGTTGTTTGACCACAGCAGCTACCCGCTGCCCCCACTCCTCATCTGCCAGCCCGACTACCGCTACTTCCTGGATAGCGTCTAGTCCCAGCATCTTCCGCTCCACTTCCAGTGCCGAGATCTTGTACCCGCCGGATTTGATCAGATCGACAGATGCCCGTCCCTGGATAAAGTACGCGCCAGAGGCATCCCGTCTGGCGACATCCCCGGTCTTGAACCACCCGTCCGCGGTGAATTCCTTGGCCGTGGCCTCAGGCCGACGCCAGTACTCCAGGAAGACGTTGTCTCCCTTGATCTCAATCTGTCCGTCTTCGTCCACCGCTTCAACAACCTGTCCGGTTTCTTTCTCGGTTAGTCGTACTTGAACGCCGGGAAGCGGCCACCCGACACTCCCGTCGATCCGTTTCTCGACCTCCAGTCCGCAGCTAATCGCCATACCGATCTCCGTCATCCCGTAGCGCTCCAGGAGCGTCTGACCGGTGATCTCTGCAAACTTCGCCTTAATGGGGGTGGGGAGCGCTGCGGAGCCGCTAACAACAAGTCGTAGAGCGCGAGCTCCATCCCGCGCCGCGGATTCCTGATCCGTTCCGCGAATGTGAGTCTCAAAGTAGTCAACCAGTCGGGAATAGATAGTCGGCACAGCCATGAACATGGTCGAGGAACCCCGATCCTGCCAGCGGGACCAGATGACCTGGGGATCGAACTTCGGATGCATCTCAACAGTAACACCACGAAGAAAACTAGCCGTCAGGCCATTGATGATCCCGTGCACATGATGCAACGGCAGGACATGAATAAGATGATCTGAAGGTGCATATTTCCACGCCTTAATCAGACATTCCGCCTGGAACGTGATATTCTTATGCGTCGTAACGCAACCTTTCGGACTAGACGTCGTGCCCGACGTATAGATCATTAATGCGCGTCTTTCCAGCGGACATTCTGAGCTAAATAGAGGCAATTGGATAGCTGTAGGTGCGACACGCTGCGTAAACGGGTCTAGATCCATGAACGGGATTCCATTCTTGGTCCCCTCCCGCAGGGATGCTTCGAAGTGCGCGAAGCCCGGATGCAGGATGATCAGTGACGGGTCCGAGTCGCCGATTGTATAGAGTAGTTCTTTCACTGGATGCGTTGTGCCTTATATTATGGACCAGCTATTAGTTAGTGTTTCAGCCAGAGTGTTTGCGATGCATACAGAGTGGGACGGTAACTCCGCCCGCTGCCCAAATGGCCCATTGTGTAACCACATAATCGTATCCATTCGGTGTGAGGAAAGCTACGCGTCTTTCTTCTAGGTCCCCTGTTTCGGTGAGCTTCAATTGCTCGAGGATCTGCTTCTTTAGTGCTGCGGTGTCGGCAAGGAGTTGGTTGAAGGTGAATGATTGGTTCTTGGTTGTGTCAATGACGGCAATTTTATCGGGGGTTGTTTGCGCATGCTTCTTGGCTGCGAGGAAGAGTGGGAGAGATGGAATAGACGTTAAATTGGGGGATTGCGTTTGCAGGTTTACACTGCGCCGAGGTGTTAGCTGTAGTTAAGATGGGCCGAGAGCGGCGGTCCGGCTTGTATACCCGTTGCTTGTCTCATTCAGGACAGCCATGTTGGCTTCAGGAGGCAGGACAAGGTACGTAGAAGGAGGTGAGGACTATGCAATGCTTCAAAGCATTCAGTGAAAGGTGAGATCAAGTGAGATCGATTGGAATGCAGTTCTCACATGAGGTCAGCTTTCGGCATTCATGCGGGGGTAAGCGTTGCCGATCGTTATCGCGTCGTCGGACTTTAGATAAGGATACCCCTGGCTTCGGATAACCCGCAGGGCTTGTATACAGCAGGCTTAGCCTACTCGCGTTTCGGATTCCGAGTACCAATGTTGAGCCATTATAACCAGATCGTCTGTAATGCCACTGCGCTAGCATTGCATGTCCGGCGCCTATAGTAAAACGTCTGGAAGAGACTATGTTTATCAGTCTGAGACTAACTAACCTGGATATCAGAAGCTGAGCACGCCGTATGCCTGCAGGTATATATCTGATCCATATTCGCTATACATAGCAAAATCAGGAACCTCACTGACCCATACCACCGTGATAATTCGACACTGACTCCTTGGCCAGTCAATGACGTCTGCGATAATAGAAGTGTCGTCTTCTAAAACGAATATATTTCTTTTATATAGATCTGGGTGAAATAGCAAGGATGTGACAGCGTCCTGAATAGTACAATGATCTGTTGAGATCTGTTTTAGTACTTTCCAAGCGTGTCCAAGGAGAGTGCCGCTGAACACCTTCGGCATGCTCCATAATAATGTACTTGCTACCGACTGGTTTGCAGCCGTCTGTTGCATTATCACTCTAGTCTAAGATTGCGGAGATGGGAACTCTAGTATTTGTTTGCACTAAAACGGGTGGCCAACTGGCTAGTCATAGCAACCGGTGTGATAAAGCCTCTTTGTCACTCTGAATATGCTTGTCTCCATTGCTTAACAGTAGAATATTTTATATAGATGCCCAAATTCACATCCTAATCCGGCAATTACAGCCGAAGATCTGAGGATACTCCAATCGGAGCCGAGGGACTACTCCGGCCAGTTCTGCTGATATCCAGATCTCTCGTACGAGGTGTAGAGTTACATCGGAGAGGAGGAAGGCTTCGCTTACTTCTTGAACTTCAAAAGTAATCCAACTCCATTGCGTCATCGACACCGACCACCATGCAGCGGGCACGTGACCGTCGGAGTTGAAGACAAACTCCGAGAGTCCTGAGGCAGTATTGGAGATTCAAATAATCGCCAATCGGTCTGGATGGGAGGAGACACCAGGCGGAAATCATGATGCTCAGAGGACCTGCATCGCGGACAAGGTTGCTCTGGCGACCCACAAGTCTGCTGCGCACGACTCGCGCAGGGTCGTCATTGACACCGCCACTGATTCGCATCCAAGACGGAACCTTCTATCAGAACTATCCCAGTCCAGACGACGCCGCCAACAACCAGAACCCGCCTCTCTTTTCCAACCTCAATTTCACTCTACCCGCCGACCGGGCAGCATCGGCTGAAAGCAATGGAGATCAATCGCTGCAACACTGGGCCGTGATCGGTGCCTCGGGGAGAACGCAACTGCTCGATATTCTCCGCGGCCAGTATGTCTGTCTCCCGCCGACGGCTCGCTCCAACCCCTACCTCCTCACAGACGAGATTGCGAAGAAGGATCCTCGGTTACGGTTCGTTGGAAACGCGATTCAATATATTGGGTTCAGCGGTGAAGGGTCGGGCGCGATTGGTGGTACCCGCGGCGCCTACTTGAGTGCTCGCTATGAGAGTCTTCGGGAAGAGACGGACTGGTCGGTGATTCAATACCTGAAGGGCCAAACTTCCTTGAACCCTCTGGAAGGAGAAGAAGGTGGAAAGATACGGGATGAACAGCTACTCAATCAGGTCATCACCGATCTGCGACTGGGAGAGCTCCTGGACATGCCCGTCGCAAACCTGAGCAATGGTCAGACCAGACGTGCGCGGATCGCAAAGGCGCTACTCAGCAAGCCGGAGCTGCTGTTGTTAGACGATCCTTTCAGTAAGTGGCCCTCTCTCAGGTTACTTTCAATTCTATTGCTAACAGCTTCTAGTGGGCCTTGACCCTGCGACCACCAGAAGCATCTCTGGCCTTCTCCAGCGCCTAGCAGCCAAATCGGACCCCCGATTAATCCTCGCCTTACGGCCGCAGGATACCATCCCGGACTGGATCACGCATCTGATGCTCCTCGGAAATAACAACCGAGTCTTATTCCAAGGTCAGCGCGCCGAAGCGGACACGGTATTCAATGTGTGGAAACGAGTCGTCAAAGGCGGCCGAGAGGTTTCATCTCTCGCTCCAGAGGAGAAGGTGATTTTCCGTGAAGCAAAGAGCGCCATGGAGGCTGGCCATCTGGATCGCCAGCTGCTCTGGGACCTCCAATTACTAAAGTCAAAGCCCAGTAAGTTAGGCCTGCCTGCTACGAAGGGAGGGGAACCAGTCATCGAAATGGAGGGAGTCCGCGTACAATATGGCGAGAAGGTTGTTCTGGGTGGATGGAAACAAAACATCAACGGTGAAGAGAAAGACGGCCTTCACTGGACCGTCCGTCGTGGACAGCGCTGGGCGATTCTGGGAGCCAATGGATCCGGCAAGACGACCCTTCTCTCCCTGATCACCTCAGACCACCCCCAAGCATACGCCTTGCCCATAAAGCTCTTCGGCCGTTCCCGCCTGCCCGAGCCAGGAAAGCCAGGCATCTCCATCTTCGAACTCCAATCCCGCCTCGGCCACTCCTCACCAGAAATCCACGCCTTCTTCCCCCGACAACTCACCATCCGCCAAGCCGTGGAATCCGCCTACGCAGAAACCTTCCTCTCCAAACCCAACCTGGACCACGCCCGCGACCTCGACGTGAGCGCCGCCCTACGCTACTTCAAGGCCGAGCTGGACCCCGACGCCGCCATCACCACCAACGAGAAACCCCCGAGAGTGCCCGTCGAGAGCAGAGCACATTTCCCGCGGATCAACTTCGTCCGAGGCGCCAGCCCCAAGTACTCGCCGATGGATTTCGACGTCGAGTACGCCGACAACACCCTCTTCGGCCAGCTCAACACCGCCCAACAGCGCGTCGTCCTCTGCATCCGCGCGCTCGTCCACAAACCGGACATCGTCATCCTCGACGAAGCCTTCTCCGGCATGCCCGCCTCCATGCGCGACAAATGCATCCACTTCCTCGAAGCCGGCGAATACTCCCGCAACCGTGCCTCCTCCGCCACCCGCCGCTCCGACGGCAAGGAAGACTGGTTGCGCGGCTACAACCCCGACGAGACCGACATCCGCCACCTCGGCCTGTCCGACGACCAGGCCCTCATCATGATCAGCCACAACCGCGAGGAAATCCCCGACAGCGTGCGCTACTACATGCGTTTGCCCTCGGAGAGCGTTGAGGGTTCCGAGCCGCTGGATTTCCGCTTCGGGCAACTGAAGTATGCGAAGACGTTGAATGAGCAGAGCACGTGGGATCATGCCTGGTTGCCGCCCTCGGAGTTCATGGCCCGGGGGGCCATCCGGTCGAGGCGGGGGAAGACGCTCGGTGAAACTGAGGAGAGTGACGATCAGGATGACAGGATATATGAGTGGTATTCTATTGGGTAAAGGGTAGATAGATCGCTAGTAGACGTGATGTTCTTGGCCGTGTGCCCGGGTAGTGTTTGTATATATATAGTGGTGTATGAGATAGAAGCGTATCCTGTTCAACCAAGAACACCAATTGGGGATTACTCTAAGGAGCCTTGGACCAGAACATATCCAACAACAGTAGCATTCGATCAACGACGCTCACTCTGAACAAAGACTATCTAAAGGACAAGAAGGATATATAGTTCAAAACGAGTCACTATCATCATACATGCATACATCTCAAAGCAAGTCTGCGAGAGCCACAATTAGGCCTTCGCCGCATCCGCCAAGCCCGAGATCAGCGCCTCCGAGCGAGTCATCTTCGGCTTCTCGACTTTCTCTCCCTCGTTCAGCTCCAGTCCCTTGGCTACGAGGTCGGTGAAGTCAATCCCGACTTCCGTGAGTAGGTCGGCATGCTCGTGCACGATGTCGATGCACTTCTGCCAGACGGTCGTGCCGCGCTGCACGCTGCTGAGCTGGCGTGTGAGGAGGGCGTTGAACCCGTCTAGGTGGTGTTTGGCCCATTTGATGCAGGCGCTGGTCATGATGGCCGGGAAGCATTGTTGGTAGATGTTGACGGTATTTTTGATGAGAGTGAAGTAGACGTAGGAGATTTGGAAGATGTATAGAGGCAGGTCACCTTCGAAGACACAGGCTCTGTTTTCGGGATGTTAGTTGCTGTGCTTTGGCTTGTTTGTTGAAAGGGTAAGGAACTTGCCTGATTCGTTTGGTAATCACGTCGGATCGGCATTTCAAATAGGCCTCTCGGGCTTGATTCTCAAAGCCCAAGCGGGTCAGCCAGGAGACCTTGGTCTTGGTGGCGTTTAGGAACGAGGGCGTGTCGACTAAGGATCGCGACAGTACCCCTGCCAGTTTGGCGGCTCGCTCGTCCACTTTAGAATTGATCACGTCCTGCGCGACCGAGTTACCTTTCAGGCCTTTGGCGAGTTTCCGCAGCCGCTCGATGTTGGAGACAGCTTCTTCGAAGCGCTGAAGCGCGATGTCGATGTCGAGTTCGTCGACCTGGCCCTCGACCCATCGCAGGTTTTGTTGCTTTCCGTCTACGTCGATGCGGACTTCGGGCGCTTCGCGTTGGGTTTCCACGGCGCTGAAATCTGGCTTTACCATGGAGTATGACGACTGTCTTACTCCTAGATACCCAAATGACTCGTTCTTGCCTGGGGTCTCTGTTTCAGATCGCAGCGTCCGGCGAAGGTCTTCCACGGTTTTGCGGAATGTCGCGAGAAGGTCGATCTTGGCGGAGCCATTCCGCTTATCATGGCGATAGGTGAAGGGTTTAGAGCCCACGCGGACACTCACAGCGTTCATGATACCACGGTCTTCTGCTTCTTCACGGGAGACCCCGGGGCCAAGATTGGCACCGAGGTCAATCATGTCGACATCTTGCAGAGGCCAGCACTCTTCTGCGACGAGCTTGGTGGGCACCGGGCCCTGGTGGTTTGGATTGCTCTGATCCACACGCTTTCGCTTTTTAGCCGCTACAAGCAGGTGGTCGTTCAGAAGCACGATGTGAACTGGTCGCCGGGGCTTCCAAGTCGCAGAATCCAGCTCGACCCAGTTTCCCGTCTCCAATACGATGTGCCGACCTGGTACCACCGGTAGGAACTTCTGCGATCCTTCGACGGTCTTCCACAGTGTCTGCAGCTGAACGTTCCACATGCTCTCCAGATTGGCAACGGAACTGCGATTGTTTCGCTTGGTGATGCGTTCGTCTAACGTCGGAGACATGGGATTTGAAGTGTTGCCAACAGTCGCGGTTTGCCCCAAAGCTGTTGTGAGCTCTGCCATGAGAGTGCGGAGAGTGCGCATCTCTCCCTTGAGTTTCTCCGCTTCTTTGCTGATCTTGATGAATTGCGTGCGATTCTGGTAGACATTTTGCTGGAGGTCGGTGGATGTCCTATTCTTCACCTTCTTTAAGCTTCTCTGATACTCTTCGATCTCTTCCTCGGTTGCATTGGCTAGGAGGTTGGCGACGTCTGATAGGCACGACCAGGTTAGCAAGACTATACCAATGTCTATGGAGGATTCATGACTGTGACACTTACATCTATCTACTGGTAGACTAGGGTCGCGCAAAGCATTCAGATCCACTTGTGGCGGACCCGAGGTCTCTGTCGAGGGCCGTCTGCTGGATGACTGAGGTGGACTTAGCGCCGTATACTGTGTCGGAACTTTAGGCACCCCGGGCACCGGGGGTGCGTTCGCGGAGTCAAGATCGGGAGCTTGATTGAACCGGGTGGAATATCTCCTCTTCACCAAATCGGAGGTTGCATCTTTTTGAGCAGCGCGTTCGCGTGAAGTGGACGTTGACGTAGCAGTCCTGGGGTCGACGGCCTTACTACCGGGAGGGAGAGGTCCGGAGATCGGTTTCGGCGCACTGATCTGGGGCCGGGGACGGCGGGATTTGCTGCGGAGAGTCAATCCGCGGCTTTCCATATTGTCTGGATCACGAAGCCCGGCGGGAACGGTTCAGATTCATGGGGAAGAGGAATGACGACGTGGAGGTATTGGATGGGGAGCTTGCTTGAACTCCCCCCGAGCGGGACAGAAACCCCGAGGCGGAAGAACAATGATCCTCCGCTTTCAAAATTGTCAGAACATGAGAAAAGCGTCACTTCCCCAGTCTCGTCCCCATAGACCAAATAAACATCCCTTTCTTCGGTTCGGTCGGACTCGCCTGAGGCACTGGACTTATTCTACCTCTGTGCTTTCTTTTATCTTTCTTTAATAAATAATTACACGCTATCTCCCGTGACACCATGAGGACGTCAACTTTGGTCGCTGCTTCGGCCGGCACGGTCCTTACCGGCCTGCTGGGTAAGAACATAACATCAAAAATCAACCGATCGTGAAAGCCAAACTAATCAATCTATTTTTATTCGGCATTTAGCTTATGCCATTTACTTCGATCACAAGAGACAGACCGACCCTGAGTTCCGCAAGTCGTTGAAGAGAAACAACCGTCGTCTGGCGAGAGCTGTGAAGGAGGAAGCCGAGGCTCAAGGAGCCCAGGAACGGGAATCCATCAAGAAGTCTGTCCAGCAGGCTCAGGATGAGGGTTTCCCGACCGACCTTGAAGAGAAGGAGGCTTACTTCATGGGCCAGGTTGCCCGGGGAGAGTCTCTCTGCGCTGAAGGTATGTTTCTGCTGCGGTCACGCCATCCGCCTTCCCTCCCCCAACAGAATCATAGACGAGATTCCATTTGAAAGTAGCGGCGGTTCACATATAACCCTAGGCTCAGACAAGGTTGAAGCCGCCCTGTGCTTCTACAAGGCCCTTAAGGTTTACCCTCAGCCTAAGGATCTGATCTCTATATATGACAAGACTGTCCCCAAGGAAGTCCTGGAAATTCTGGCCGAGATGGTCGCCATGGACGCCGGTTTGAAGCTGGGCACATTCACTGGCGAAGGTGGCAGTGCTGAGTCAAGCCATGGTGTCGAGTAAAATAACAGACGTGACGCATTCATTGGATCCGGACTCGCGCCCTCGGCATTGTCAATCATCCAACCCCCTTCCGTATAAAAATAAGAACTTTGCTTGGCCTGTGATCTGGCTCTCTCAGGTCGTCGGGTCACGCTGGGCCGTGGTCCGGACCCGTTTTCTCTTGCATTTGGGCTACTAATTGATGCGAAAAGGTTGATCGATCTCTGTGAAGGTCGACTCTTTTCGACGTTTACGCCTTGCGATGTCACACTCTCACCCTCTCCGCTTATTATTTGTTACCTTTTTCCTCCTGTTCCCTGTATATTTGCATCATTGCCCATGTCTTGGCCGCCGGCGTGGCGGACTCTCTTGGTATTTCTCGGCGCCATGACTTTTTGTTTCTCATTTTTCTCCTTCGGTTATTCACCCCCTATTTCACCAGTCTTGGGGGTTTCTTGGGACGTGGACAATTCTTGGGTTACAGGCGCCAACGTTTCCTTCTCCCCAAGTGCTTCTCCTGACGGGTAACATTTGGGACTGTATTTTAGAGAGGCAGTAGTGTATCAACAGTGAGCCATTAAACGTGGATTGAGATGCAACAATGATGATTTCCTGATTAGGTGATCTGCAACCCTATCCCTGATCCATATCAAACAGCTATTAAGAGCTCAATGATCGGGGAACCGTTTCACCTCTATCTACCGATATTGCCTCCCTTGGGAAGGACTTAAATTAAAATAAAAAAATAAAAAATAAAAATAAATACCATCGCCTAGTTTCAACTTTGAAGACCCTCCGCGCCAAGGGTCTTGTCGGTAAAGGGGATTGGTTCTAGTGAACTACTAGTCGGGAGTGGAGTCTCATAGTGCTGGAGTATACCCTTTAATGAAACTAAATTGCTGGGCATCAGTTGGTTCGGAGGGGGCCAAGGGCTCGCTTTCACTCAGTCCTTTCTTTTATTCAAAAAGCCTTCTGCCGGGTCGACTCGCGACTCTTCTCTCTCCCTCCTTCCATTCATTCCCCGTCGCTGTCCTTTGTTTGTTCTGCCCACACTCGCTACTTCCCTCTCGGGTTGTGTTTGATCTTTGTGCGCCTTTGCGCTCGTCACTCGTTCTCTTTCTACTTTGGAACTTCCTGTGGAAGCACCTCCGTCCGATCCTTTGACTCCTTGTGCTTGTTTTCTCAGCGAGAGAGATATAGAAAATGCCTTCGGTCGGTTCACTTCCTTCCCCTATCAAAATTCGATATCCACATTGATATAGATCCACCGATTACCCAAAACGGAATATTGGCTGACTAAACGGCCGAGTGTATAGATGTACACTCGTCTTTTTGCTGCGCTTTGCGCTCTTGCGACCACTGCGAATGCCGTCACCACCATCGAGGTGAAGGGCAAGGACTTTGTCAACAGCAAGACCGGTGATCGTTTCCAGATCCTGGGTGTCGAGTACGTTCCTGTTCTGATCTACCTTCTGTTCACTCTCTATGATCACCTTGTGATTCATGATATTCGATCGCGTTACCTCGTGGGGAAAGCGGTGGTGTTGATCATCATGTCATATCTACAGTTACCAACCCGGCGGTTCTTCCGGCTTCAAGAAGGACAAGGACCCTCTCAGCGACAAGGACGCATGCTTGCGTGATGCCGCTCTCATGCAGCGCTTGGGTGTGAACACCATCCGTGTCTACAACTTGGCGCCCAGCCTCAACCATGACGACTGTGCTTCCATCTTCAACGCGGCCGGCATCTACATGATCCTGGATGTCAACTCCCCTCTGTACGGCAGCTACATTGACCGTACCGCCCCCAAGAGCAGCTACAACGCCGTCTACTACGAACAGGTCTTCGGTGTGATCGAGGCCTTCAAGAACTACCCCAACACCCTCGGTTTCTTCGCCGGTAACGAGGTGATCAACGAGCAGAGTGTCAAGGAGGTTGCCGCTTACATCCGTGCCGTCCAGCGTGACATGAAGGACTATATCAAGAAGAACGTTGACCGCTCCATCCCTGTGGGTTACTCCGCCGCTGATATCCGTCCCTGGTTGATGGATACTCTGAACTACTTCATGTGCGAGGACTCGGACTCGCCCAGCTCCCAGTCTGACTTCTTCGGTCTCAACTCCTACTCGTGGTGCGGTGACTCGTCCTACACCAAGTCCGGTTACGACGTCCTGACCGAGGACTCAAGAACGCCTCCCTGCCCGTCTTCTTCTCCGAGTACGGCTGCAACGAAGTGACTCCTCGTGTCTTCACCGAGGTGCAGGCCATCTACGGCGAGGAGATGACCCAGGCCTTCTCCGGTGGTCTGGTCTACGAGTACACCCAGGAGGCCAACAACTACGGTCTCGTCAAGCTCAACGACAGCGACACTGCCACTTTGCTCGTCGACTTTGAGAATCTGCAGAAGCAGTATGCTAAGCTCGACATGAAGCGTATCCAGGCCTCCAACTCGACCCAGACTTCCTTCAAGGCCCCCAAGTGCAGCTCTGACCTGATCAAGAACGGTACCTTCCTGAGCAAGTTCGACCTGCCTTCCCGTCCCTCCAAGGTCCAGGACATGATCGACAACGGTCTGTCCAAGGCCAACACCGGCAAGTTAGTTGAAGTCTCCACGACCTCCATCCCTCAGAAGATCTACGACCATGCTGGCAAGGAGGTCACCGGCATCCAGCTGAAGGCCCTTTCCAGCGGCGAGTCCAACACCCCAAGCACCTCCGGAAGCTCCAGCTCTGACAGCGACTCCAACAACACCAAGGAAAGCGCAGCGGGCAAGATGACCGCTTCCTTCATGGGTCTGGTGGTCGGTGCCGTTGTGGCCGCGGTCTCCGTGCTGTAATTAATTGACTTGGCTGTGTTATATTTCACATTGCGTGCGTTGAATTAACTTCATGTATTTGTCTTTTTCTTCGTGACCGAGATGACTCTGGGAGGGTCAGCAAGTTTATGATACCAGTTCTGGGACACTGGGACAACTGACCCACTGGAGATGTTATTTTAGAATGGAGTCTTTTCGCTTCTCATTGGTAGAACGATTTCCTTAACAGTTTAATTTGAAGAATGCTCATAAGAAGGGAATATGATCGTCCCACTATTTACCTACACGAACCGACCACATACAGAGCGTCATTTGCCCCACAGATAAAACTAATCTACTGCTATACTCTGAGACCGTCAGCACTAGTATAACTGAGAGTGATCCTAGCCAACATAACATGTATGCCCGAAGTATAAAAATCCATACATACCACATGAACTTCCCCCCAGTCTTCCAAAGAACAGATAAGAGATCCAAACAAAAAACCCAGTGAGACAAAATCAACATGTCCCCCAAGCCAACCATCCTTCTTATCCACGGCGCCTGGCACACCCCAGCCACTACGAGCCCTACACCACAGCCCTGCAGAACGCAGGCTTCGAAGTCCACTGTCCACACCTCCCAACCTGCACGGGCCAGTCCCCCCCAACAGCCACCTTCGCCGACGACGTCGCCCTAATCCGCCAAACCCTGCACTCCCTCACCTCCGCCGGGAAACAAATCCTCCTCATCATGCACTCCTACGGCGGCTGCGTCGGCACCGACGCCGCCCAGGACTTCCTACACCCATCCCCAAACAGCAAGAACCAACCTCCAAAAGGAAGCATAATCCACCTCCTCTACCTCTGCGCCTACATCCTGCCCCCCAGCTCATCCATCCAAACCATCATGGACCAGGCCGGCGTAGACGAAACCCTCTGGGCGCAGTTCATGGACGATGATGAAGCCGGACTCACCCTGCCCCGGGACCCCGGGCTGTGGTTCTACGAAGCCTGGAGCCGGAGACGGTGCAGAGGTGCGTGCAGGGGCTCGTGAGGTTCCCGGTGAGCGTGCTCCGGGAGAAGACGAGCGGCGATGCGTGGCGCCGGTGTCCTGTTACCTATGTGAGGACCGAGAGGGATCGTGCTGTGCCTGGGCTGTTTCAGGATTTGATGCTCGATGCGGTGAAGAAGGAGGGCATCGAGATTGGGGTTTTGGGGTTCGAGGCTTGCCATAGTGTTTTTTGGAGAATGTCGGGGGTTTGGTGGGGGTTGTTCGGGATATAGAGGCTGGGGTTTATTGAATGGGCCCCTTTCTTGGGGGTGGATAGGACTGGATTATTTATATTGACAGTGTCCTGCACCGGGAATAGCATCTAACATCAAGGTGGGGGATCCTCTTTACACATGCTCGTATGGTTATAGCCCGCTTGCTACTCGCCTGACTGGAGCCTGTAAGTGAAGGTACATTCCCTCTCATGAGTTAGGGAATTGGTCGTGACTGAGTGGTAGTGCATGTCTGTGGCTCAGTGATACCGAGAAACCATGGCAATATGCGGCACATCTAAGTGCACAGATTCATCTGGCGAGCTCCAGGGAGTTCTCAGCAGTAGCGACAGCAGTCAAATTATAGTTGCAACGGCCTTACAAGTAGTCATTTTCGGTAATACTCTGACAGATCCTCACATCGATACATAAATCCCGAATTGTATATTAAATGACATGATAACATGATCGAAACACAGACATAATAAATGAACCGAAAGCAAATGTACAAAGTACGGAATTACAAAGCTCGACCCTTGCCCTTGCCCTTGCCAGACTCACCCCACGAGAGCGATGGGAACTCGTCTCTTTGCTCCGGCGGCTGACTATCGGCAAGACTGAGTTGGATGGCAAGCTCCAAATCATCCATTTCTTGTTGGTGGCTGCTTTCAGCGACGACTTCTGATGGGGAGAGATTGTGAGAGCTAGATTGAGACCCCTTCGCGTACTTGATGGGAATGTCAGGATACTGCTCAAAAGACCCAGGCCCCTCGTCAAGAAGACTCAGGCGGATCGCTTCAGCGATGTCAGGGGCAAGATCGTCGTCAACAGGCTGCTCGTATGGAGACGAGGAGGATGAAAATTCGTCTGCTGCGACTGAGCTATCGTTCCGCCCGATAGTATCGCTAGAGGCGGAGCTAGCCACGGAGCTAGGCACGGCATCGCCCCGTTTTTGCGCTTCACTAGCGAAGGCCTCCTCACTCAGGAGTTGCGCATAAGCGAGAAGCTGCTCTTCGTCCACATCGGGTCCCAGCAGATCGATGCCGAATCGGTTGCTGAGGTGCGCCTTCTCCTTGCGATCGGCTTTTTCTTGTCGCACCATCTCTGCCTGCTCATCCTCGATGAAGTCTTGGAGCGCTCCTCGGCCGCTGCTGTTGAAGCGTTGGCCCTCGGGAGTAGAATTGCTGCCCCGACGGCCGCGGCGGAACCGGCGCTTGCTCGTCTTATACTGATCGGCGGCGCCAGAGCTGTAGGACCAGTAGCGCAAGTGGGACCCGAGGGCAACCATTCCCCTTAAGACCGTAGGATCAGGGTCTAGGCATATAGATCCACTGGCATAGAAATTGTTTCCAACTCCCTGAATAGAAGCCTCCGCCTGAACTAGTCGACGACGCGCGCGGGAAGAAAAGCGTGAGTTGATGGTTCGGATAGGTCGAGTTGACGATGCAAGAGGATCCCAAGCCTGCACAAGCCCGTCATTACCGCCGTGCACAACGTACAGCGACGTAACAGCAACACAGGACACTTGAGGAGAGTCAGTCTGGATGATGCGGATCGGATTGACGGAGTTGATGATATCCGAGTTCTTCGCCGTAGGAGCGCGTATATCCCATACAAAGACCCCTCCGGTAGCCGTTCCAATAGCCATGTAGCGCCCCCGTTGACCGGGAATTTCTGGATCTGAGGGCTGCTTCATGTGCGGCATTGGCGACGACATACCGGAGGAAAGTGTCGAGCTTCCGGACATCCCAAGAAGAGGATCCTCGTCAGGAGTTAGTACAGCATATGTCGAAAGGTCCATTGTGCTTGTTGTGATTTCAATTGACTTGTGATCGCCGAAAACAAAATCTGAGATACGCCATTCCGTATTTGCGGCAGAGCAAACTATTTCGCCGAGGCGACTGGAGGCTCGCGAAGGTGGCACACTTGGCGTATTGACGGCTGAAGATAGAGACGGAAATTCAATAGGCCCACCGAATAGAGATGAAGCCATGGACTCGCCCGTTTGATACGTTCCAAAATGCGACGATGGCATTTCGACCTGCGTCAATTTTCTGGTGTATCTGCGAATCGAGGCCTTCTCATCTTCTCCAATACCACGAGCAATGACGATAACGGACTCACCGGCTCCGTGGCTATCGTCACCAGCGAAGTCGACTTGCATTTCGCGTCGCATGTCCCAACCCTCGCAAACCTTCCGGAAGTGTTTCGGCTTGAATGACATAAACTGCTCAATCTCCTTAGTCTCAGCAGCAAGCTGATTCTCATCAAGCTTCATCGAGTCCGAAGACGACCTCGGACTATAGCTGCCGTCGACAAGCTCTCGACTGTATGGGTCGGGCCTGGCCGTGCGGCGACTCAACTCCAGAAGCTCCCAACGAACACTCCTGCCAGTCTTCCACGCCAGAGTATCAATTTGTTCAGGGCTCATCTTAGCCGACGGAAGTTCAGGCTGGCGTGGCAAGTCTGAAAGATAGAAAACTTCACCCAAGGCATTGAGAACGGTTGCCCAGATGCGTCGACGGGCGTGACGCTTGACAGAATAATCGTTGTCGACTGCAATCGCAATGATGGGGACTCCCGGACAGAGAACCCATCGGGCAGTCACTTGGCCTCTTTCGAATCGCTGTTCATACGTGGGATGAGGCCCGAGTGCATAGGCTGTAAGAACTCCAGAAGAGGCACCGGACATCATTGCGACCAATCCTCCAGTCATTTTCAGGACATTGGAGGACTTGGCGATCCACACCGCGGTGACCGCATTCGTGATCAGATTCAGAGTAGGAATGCCCAACTGCGGCTGTGAGATGGACTCAGTAAGGCCCAAGAATCGCCCGCGTTGCTCCAAGGTTGAGATGAAATAGCTGCGTCCTTGAGGGCAACCCTCACCGTAGATCATCCCGTAAGGCTGGCTAACGTCCATGCGATTCGGCAGGCCGACCATGTTTCCAGAGCCAAGACCGTATTCGGCTTCACCAGGGAATAAATCCGCGAAATGGCGGAACAGCTGATGGTCAGACAAACCCCATGTCCCAACCTTGACCGAGGAGGGATCGCTAGCAGATGCGATTCCCTGCTCTGACGCCCCATGGATGAAAAGAGGCTGCTTCTTGGTCACCTCGGTCCCAAAGGATGCCGCAAGATGATTGACAGGATACAAAAGCTGGGAAGTGTACGTGACAACGGCACTGCCATTGCGCATATTTACAGAGCGAACTGTACCGCTCTTTTTGGCAGGGTCGAATTGCGCCGGCTTACCTCGCGCAAGTGACCTCAGCAAGCGGGTCCGCAGAATATACTCGGACCTCCATGACGCTAACGCAGTGAGCCGGGAAAAGAAGCGCTTATCCGAGGTGACCCTCTCAGGTGTGTTAGCCTCAGACAGGTGAATGCCATTTTCCGAGACATAAGGCCCAGGAAAGTAGCGCGAAAATGCGATTCTCCAGGCGTGGGGCGTTGTGACAAGAGTGTGAAACCGGCGCGACACTAATGCCATAGATGACAGAGCCGGTGGTGGCAGGTGCGAGAGGATGTGCGTTAAAACCTCTGGCAAGCCATAGTGTTAGACAGGTCATTGTCTGAGGAAGATTACCAACGGTGACATACCATTTGGGAATGCGTCCAGCGACAGATGCGACTCAGTAGACGGGGGTGTTACTCTGAAGCTCAGATCGGTTCGTCTCCAAGGCGACTGCGCTATCGCATTCTCGTACTGAGTGACACGGTCGGCAACCGGCGATGCGGGGGCTGAATCGTCAGACCTCGCCTGGTTCAAGG